GTCCAGAGAGGCTGGCTGCCTGCCTCAGAGCTGATGGTTCAGCCTGGTCCCATCTGTCTGGTTGCCAGGGGGAAAGTCTTCTTTCTGTATCTCTTCAGTTCTTCAGGAAACTAGGCTCATGATTTGCTCCCTCAAGCTCTCAGGAGGATTGTGGGGGAAGAGAAAGCATCAAAGTCTCCCTGCCACCCCAAATCCCAGGGCTCCTGTGGTAAGACTGTGTGACATGCCCTTTGGTAGGGGGCAGCTTGGAAGCCCTCACTTTGGGCCAGATGTTCTATTGTGCCCCTGTAGTTACAGAACCATCAAACACCAGGGAAGAAGGGACAGAAGGAAGTTCTGGGACTCCACTGGTCAGTGCATGCTGAGTGCTGTGGGTCTGTTGTGCTACCTGCTGCTGGACTGGCCTGAGGACCATACTTTAAGGCTTCATCCAAGGCCCAGTTCTGGGGTCAGATCTCCCCTGTAGCTGACCAGCCTGGGGCAGAAGAATTTCTGAACCTGGGCTGGGACCAAGAACTAAGGGGTGCCCTCTGCCCTGCCTGGGGGCACCCAGACTTTAACTCCTGGGGAACTGGGTGTATAGCAGGGAACACAGTGGCAACATCTATTTTGTGTATGTTTCATGACCAAAAACAAAGCCAGAAAAGTTTGAAAGTGAAGGCCTTAGCCCTTGAGGGGTTCAAGCTAGATGGTGCTAAGCCAGGGAGGGTAGAGTAGGTGGAGATGGCAGCAGGGAGTGGCCCACCCAGGCTGCCAAGGTGCAGGACTGGCAGGGAGAAGGGCAGATGAGGGATAAGCCCCCAGGACCATGTCTTGGGGAAGGAAGAGGAAAGCTGCTCTTGGTATGCTGGCCACTAGAAAACTTTCAGTCCTGGCCCTGGGTGTCTTCAAGCTGACACTACCCCATGGAGAGTTAAGTGCAGTCATTGTCCCAAAACAGGGCATAAAAGAGGTAACTGGAACACTGGCAAGTATCAGGCTCTTCTCCCGGGCTGGTGCAAGAAGCGGGTACAAGAGCCAGGTCAGGCCTTGGGATGGACACCCAGGGTCACAGGTACTGGGGAAGACAGAAAAATCTGCAAAGAAGGTCAGACTAATTCCATGGATGGGGTGGGAACAAGCTGGCATGGTGTCCTGCAGTGTCCTCTTAATATTCCACAAAGAATTTCTGGGAGCTTAAGGATGACAAGACTGTCTTCTATCCTCGGGTGACACTGTGGCCTAGTGGGCCAGGACAGTCCTGCTTCCCACCTACTCTGCTGGCCTATTGGTAGAGCTCCTTTTATGCTTTAAGTCTCAGGGTAGATGACAATATTTATATCTGTCTGCCCTCTAGTTCAATCTTCATCTCTTCTTAGTAGGAGGCTCCAGGAACTATCCCTGGTACCCCCATACCCTCCTGGAACCGGGACATTGGAACACTCCTATGCACAGGTGCTTGGAGTAGACCTGGACAAAACAAGGCCCTCAGAGCCATGCAGGCAGTGAGCAGAACTGGGAGGAAGACCAGCTCCACACATGTGCCCTCCTTTCATGCAGTTGTGACCTGGCCAATAGGGGAGACATAGGGAGTGATGCCCACTCCACTGTCACCTATAGTGCAGTGGAGTGGGCATCAGAAAAACGTAGGCCTCTGAGCCAGGAGCCATGTCCTCTCCCTTCTTCTGGTCCCATCTCACAATTTGGTGGGGAGAGGGCGGGTAGCTGGGTGGAAATGAAAAGAAAATGATGTTTTCCCAAGACACCTCCTCCTTTCAGCCCTCAACTCCAGAAAATATGCTTGGGCTAAGGATACTGTCAGGCCTGACTGCAGTGATAAATGCCCAACCCAGCAGGACAGGCTCAGAGCCTTGTGAGGTAGGGAGAGGCTGGGAAGAGGGTGAGGAATTGGGCAGATAGGCCCAGGCCTGGGTCTTGAACATTTGGACAACACACTAGATGGGACAATGCTGAAGAAAGAAAGGGATACTTCTGGGCACTGAAGAGAACGCCTATAGCAGGGGTGGACGATCATGAGGTGCAAGGCCCGTGTGAGATGCAGGGAATAAAGAATGAGCATAATGCTGTGTCCTTTCTCACTTTCTCACATATATGCCCTGAGGCCCTTGCCCCTGCCAGTCCTGTATCCCAGGGCCTGGGACATTACCAGACACGAATTAAATACTCAGTAGATATGTCACATACATGCAACATACACATCCACACAACACACTCAGAACCTTCTTGTGCATGCATGTGTGGGCACATGCACTCACTTCTTCTGTACCCAGAATACAAAAGTGCTTCACTATTCTACCCTGTATCTACTGCTCTTTGGGCGAAATGGTTTTTGAGCTCCCTTCTGCTTGGAAATTGAGATGTGGTCTCTCCTTCTGAGGTCAACACAAACAAGAAAGTGTCACAATTTAGAACATGATATTCACATGTGTCCAAAAAATCCAAGTGAATGTGTGACTTTAGAGCAAGACAACTATTCTTTAGTCTGGACTTTTCTTTGACATCTGTTGCTTCTATAATCTCTAAGTATGAAATTCACATTGACCCTAGCAAATAATCTTGCTGTACCTGTGAGCCAGCAGTGAGTGCTAGAGGGTTTGGGAAAGCACAGTGGGACTTGGCAGCTCTTAGGAGGCCAAGAGAACCAGCCTGTTATTGGAGAATCACCTTTTAGAGCTCTTCAGTTTCTGATTATGTGGGTCTATTTGATGCTGCCAAAAAATCATAATGAATGCCTACCTTTACACAGTACCTTATACATTTGTATAAGTGACCCTCCTATAGCTGCCCATGCGACTCAGATGCCGCATCCACTCCACAAGAGGAAACTGAGGCCCTGAGGAGGGAATGACTTGCCACAGGTCCCCAGCTGGCCAGTGGCAGGATGAGGGGAAGTGCAAGGCTGTCAGCCTCCAAACCCAGGCCCTGTCCTTTATGCTATACTGCCCTAGGAGTATAGCATAAGCCCTAGGAGGGCAGTATAGCATAAAGTATCTAGAAGTGCTGTTGGGTATCATAAAGGTGAGTAGCCTGGTGGACACTAACCAAGTCAGCAGCCCAGCATCCAACTGGCATGAGCTTGCTGCATCCCTGGAGAAGGGCTCCTCGGTCTGGTTGCCCTCCTCCGGGATGTGATATGTCCTTCCTTGCGGAGGCATATCCAGGAAAGACAAGTAACCTGGAAAGTACTGACTGCTCTGAACATAAGAAACAACATTACCACCCTGTCTACTCAGAAGCCCCAAGTACCAAGAAAGACCTTTGAACTGAATAGGAAACGAATTTTCTAGGTGGCCAAGATAGACGCTATCCAATTCATAATCTAAATTACCTTCATTTCCCTCATAAAGATGCCCTCTGCCAGAGCCTATTTGTTCTTTTAGAGTGGCCCTGGCTCTTGACTTCCCTCATCCAAAGCATCTAAGAATGAAAAACTTGTCAAGGGCCTCAGAAGGCACCTCCACCCCAGCAACAAGATATGACAGACCAGAATTTTGCCATCAGGTAGGACACACACAGCTATGAAAAACAGACACAGGAATTCTAACAATGCAACACCAATGGCCACACACCTTGTCAGAGTCCCTAAAAACTGTATGTGAGTATTTCGCATTGCTGGAAATTTACTGAGAACCCACCACATGCCAGGGTATTTATGTTATTTCAGTCAGTCCTCAGGTAACCTCATAGATATCCTATTTTATAGTTAAGTAAACCAGCGTTCAGAGGGTTTACCTGCTCAGAGCTCCACACCTGGCCCCGGGCAGGGAGAAACTATCATCCAGGTCTGGGAGGCCCCAGTGCTCTGATTCTACCCCCTGCACCATGCTTTTCCCCACCAGGGCTGGGGCCCAAGACTGAAGAGGGCAGCCTGAGACTTCAAGGAAAAGCAAAACCATTATCTGTGAATTCTACTTAAGAAAACAAAATAGCTGATGAGAAGTACTTAAAGAAAGGCTTTATGTATTGGAAATGTCCACTTAACTTGGATATGTATTCTTTAACACACCATGGATTTTGAATAAAGCATTATTTAATGACTTTTAAATTATTCAGATCTGGGAGTGAGAGAAGAGTTTGTCCACCGTCTATAGTTTGTACCCATCTGTCAAGTAGATAATGAGAGCCTTGAGGGTTTCTGAGAAGCCCACCAGCCCATTTATTCACTCACACTGTTTGTAAACTGATCCCCTCCTGAGGTGTTGCAAGATCCTGGGTAGTCAGATTCTGGTTTTGATGAGACAGAAATACACAATAGCTTATGACCAGGAAGAGAATGCAGTGTTATGGATGTGGGTTATGGACCACATTATGTTTAGGGGTCCTCTACCTGCCAAATTAAGTAAAAAAAGAAGATGGGGAGAAAATAGAAGTACAAGTGAGAAAAAGAGAGGAGTCAAGGTCTCAAAATGTCTCTGTCCTTGGAGATGCAAAAGGAGTCCTTGATAGGGGAACCAGTTTTACCTAGAGGAAGTATGTCACTAATTTCTTCTGTTTAGGTAGGAACAGCAAACAAACTTGCACACAGTTGTCATAACAACAACAAAGCTCTTTGAGCTCTTGGAGTCAATAGGAGAGAAATCAATTTTCACTTGCCTTACTTTCCATTCTGCCCAGACAACTTCTTGGAGGGACAGGGGGCTAAAGCCCTGGCTTCCCTTCTACCAAGCAGAGCATCTTCTATCCAGGATGGCTTATGGGGCCTGTTATAGGGAAGGACAGACCAGCACTCTTTCATCATATGTTTTGGGTCATGCCTGCCATTTTGGGTTCCCTGTAGGCCATGAGGGCAGAGGGGCAGGTCCTGTATTGGGGTAAGCTCTGCTGGTGGACAGCACATCCTAAAATGAGAGCCACAGGCTGAAACACCTGGGGGCCACTGCCATCTGCTTGGAACACAGAGACTGTGGACATCTAGTCCTGTGAGAGAATGCTGGACTCACCCTGACATCCAGGCCATCTTTCCCATCCCCATCCCTTCATCCATGAAAACTTGACCCTACCTCGTTGATGGCCAGCTGCTCACCACCCCCTCCAGGGTGGCTGTAGTGGTGGCTGGAGCTGTGCATGTCCTCAAACAGGTCCTCCTCACTCCCCGCCTCGTCAGCACGAAGGGCTGTTTCCAGAACTCCATCAGGGATAGCTGGAAGGAGAGACACCAGGTGGCAAAGAGGAGCTGAGGATGGGGGACAGGCAGAGAAGGAAATGAACCTTTGCAGGATAAATGATCCTTCTTTGAGAAGTGGGAGAAGACCTGGGAACTAGTTTTTCAAATGAATTTTGCTGCAAAATGTGGTCTGGTTGAAAGAGTGCACAAGGTGACTTTCGCCCCATTGCTCTTGATCACCTACCCTTCAATCCCCACCTTCGCCCTAAGGAAACAGAAATATCTGCCAGAGCATGATGCTCAAGAGTCCCCTCCAGCTGAATTCAGTTCAAAGCCTTCTACCCACTAAATAATGACTCCATTATTTCCTAAGAATAATGCTAACAATTTATTCTGAAATACATATGTATCCAAAGAAATATAAAGTAATACATTTGAGTATAGTTTAGAAATTAATAAAATGAACTTCATAGTAATTACTCTGCTTAAGAAAATACCAGAATCTCAGAATTTGACTACCTGCGTGCTCTTTTCTGACTGCATTCCCTTCTTTCCTTTAGAGCTATCTATTATTTCTATAAATCACACCCGTGCTGTGTTCTAGCATTTATTTCTGCTGAGTCTTGCATCGTTTGACCTTATATAAATGAGACCATCCAGTACTGTTTCTGCTTTGGCTGGCTTTTTTTTTTTTTTTTTTCTCAACTGCTTGTGTAGCTGTGATTGATTCATTCTCACAGATGCACAGTCTTATTATGAACATGTCAAATTTTACATATCCATTGCACTGCTAGAGAGCAGCGGGTGCTTTTCTGTATTGCTGCTGGTATGAATGACGGTACCGCAAACATACCTCCAAACTGCTGGGGCACATGTTCCAGAGTTTCCCCTTGGGCAGTGGTTTTCAACCTCTTTTTCATTCCTCCCACTAAAGAGCCCTTTATACATTGTTTTCCTAATTGTCCCAATGAAATTTTAATACCACAAATATACTGTATGTTTGTTATGTTCCATGGCTCTTTGGAAGGCCACAAACCATGCCTAAAATTTTTGCCCCCTTTGGCAAAAATCATTACCTCTGGTGTGAATTGATAGTCTAGGTGCATAGGTCCCAGGTGTGGTATCCCTGGGTCCTAGGTATGCCAAACTGTTTCCCAAAGCTATTCTACCACTTAAAATTTCCAACAGTGTGTTGCCTGGGTGGCTCAGTTGGTTAAATGTCTGACTCTTGGATTCGGCTCAGGTCATGATCTCAGGTCATGAGATGGAACCCCACCTCAGGCCCTATACTCTGCATGGAGTTTGCTTAAGACTCTCTTTCCCTCTCCCTGTCCTTGTCCCCGATGTGCACACATGCCCTCTCTCCTCTCTCTCTACAATTAAAAAAAAAAAAAAAAAAGACGTCCAACAGTATGTATGAATGTTCCCACCACACCACATCCTAACCAGCTCTGAGGACTGACATCGTTAGACATAGTTGACAGGCTGATGGGTATGGAATGGAATCTTACAATAGTTTGAATTTACATTTCTCTGATCACTAATGATCACTAATGAGGTGAACATATTATCCATGTTTATGGGTCATTGGTATTTTCTTAATGTGAAAAATCTATATCTATTGAGCTATTGGTCTTTAATGTAATCAATAATGTAAAAAATGTATTTCTATGTATGTGTATATATACATATACTGCCCCAATTCTGCATGCTAAATCTTTTTCACCCACTTGTATCACAAGTATCATCTCCCAATTTGTAGCTTGTCCCATCTCTTTAAGGTGCTTTTGATGAACAGAAGTTCTTAATTTTCATATAGACAAATTTATCAATCATGTCCTCTGTGGTTTATATTTTTTGTGCTGATAAACTCTTACCCACCTCAAAGTTGCAAAGGTACCCTCCTATGTTATCTTTCAAGGTTTTGTAGTTTTTCTTTTGACATTAAGTTTTTATTGCACTTGGGAATGATTTTTGTGTATTGTGTAGTTTGAAATCTGTGGTATTATCATTTATAATTAGAAATATATACTTGGACTTTGACCCCTTCCAGGCACTGAGCTCCTGGGATATCCTATGATAAGAATGATAAAGGTTTCTTTTCTTGTGTTAATGAATACTTTGGGAAAGCCCCTAGGGAAAGCAGGGATGGGGCTGCCCCCACAACCTACTTCTAGGGAGGGGCAAGGGGCTGGATCAATAGGCAGTGGCCAATGATTTAGTCAATCACACCTACATAATGAAGCCTCCAAAAAAACCCTAAGAACAGTGTTTGGAGAGTTTTTTGGTTGTTGAACACATGGAAATTTGGGGATAGGGCATGGAAGCTTTGTGACTCTTCCTGTCAGAGTTTCCTGGGAAACTCTTCCATCTGGTTGTTCCTGAGTTCTATCCTTTTGCAATAGATTGGTAATCTAGTCAATAAAATGTTTCTCTGAGGTCTGTGAGCCGCTCTAGCAAATTATTAGAACCCATTGCAGGACTTTGTTGGAACCTCCAATTTATAGCCTGTGGATCAGAAACACCTGGGGCTTGTGACTAGTACCTGAACTGGGAAAACAAGGGTGGTCATATAGGATTGAGCCCTTGACCTGTGGGATCTGAAATTATCTCCAGGTGATGAGTATGAGAATTGAGCTGAATTGCAGGACACCTTGCTGGTGTCTGAGAAATTGCTTGGTAATGGGAACACACATGAGAATGGGTCCAGAACTTTTAGAATCCAATTTCATTTTTTTCTGTAAAGATAAGCAATTTTCTCAGCATCATTATGGAATAGACAGTGCTTTCCAATGGATCCATGATGTCTGCTCTGGCATTAAATTGAGTTCTGGACTCTATTCTCGTGGGAGGCAGAGTAGAGTAATAGCCTCCAAAAAGTGTCAAAGTCCTAATCCCTGGAGCCCAGGAATATGTTATTTTACATGACAAAGAGGAATTAAGATCGCAAATGGAATTAAATCTACAAATCAGCTGATATCAACATAAGAGGATTATCCAACATTCCCTGGGTGAGCCAGACATAGGTGAAAATATTAACTTTGTGAGGACTCATCTCAAGCATTTCCTCTGGGCAAGTCTTATCTAATATCACTCCAAGGACTGACATTGGTTTCTATCTCACTCCCAAGGAGCTTTGTACAGACAATGGTAATGGCACTTATCATATATCCCCTATACATTGCACTGTCTGACTGTCTCCCCAAAGGCAGTAACCTTGCCTTATTCCTTGATGTAGACTTCAGTAAGTGTTAAAGAAATGAATGGATAAAGAAATGCGAGCATGGTGGACAGAGGGAATGACTGAATAGATGAATAAAAAAATGGAGAGACGAATAAGTGAATGTAGGGAGGCCTGGAGGATGATGGCAAGTAATGGAAGGCAGAGCCTCTGGGGCCTGGCAGAGCCAATGCCTGGAATACAGCTAAAGCTTCATGCCCATGGCTGAATATGGACACAGAAGCACAGCACTTGAAAGCAGCACTCTGTCCCTGGAAATGACTGGAGAAGCCCTCTGCTCCAGCCTGGCACCAACTAAGAGCCCTGCCCCTGACCCCACACAGTCAAGAGTCCCAAGGAACCCTCATCATTTTTATTTCATATTTTATTGTTTTTAAATGATTATTATGGAAAGTTCTGAATAAGTAAAAAGGGAGAGAATGAATCTTATGTTCCCATTATCCAGCTTTAGCAATTTTCAACATGAAGGCAATTTTGTTTCATCATCCATATCCCCTCCCCTTTCAGATCCTAGATATGATACAATTCCATCTGTAAAAACTGTAGTATATAAGAGATGAGGACTTGGTCTTTATAAAAAAAAATAGCTACAATACATATCTAAAACACACTATAATCCATAAGAGGTTATCTTAGTGGCATACCTTCTCCTCTAGGGCATTAAAAATTTTTAAGGGCATCTACATGACACAGTTGATTAAATGACCGACTCTTGGTTTTCTGCTTTGGTCTTGATCTCAGGGTTGTGAGATTGAGTTCTGTGTGGGGCTTTGCACTCAGCGCAGAGTCTGCTTGGGATTTTTCTCTCTCTCCCTCTGCACCTCTCCCCACCCAAATAAATAGATAAATCTTTTTAAAAAACCTTTTATTTTGAAATAACCCTATAGGGAATTGTAACTGTAGTGCAGAGGTCCTGTGTACCCTTCACCCAGTGGTTATAGCTTATGGAATTCTGATATGATATCACAGACAGGAAAGTGGCCTTAGTACAATGTGTGTTTATGGTTCTACATCATTTTACCATCTGTGTATTTGTGTAACCACCATGACAACCTATGTAAGCTTTGGAGGATAGCTTTTTCACTCAGCTGAATGCCCTTGAGATCCATCCAAAATGTTTGTATTTCTACCTCATCCTTTTTGTAGCTTACTAGTATTCCATGCAATGGGTATAATTAGTTTGTTCCACCTCCAACCCACTGACAGACATCCAAGTGATTTCTAATTTCGAAAAGGCTGTTGTAAATAAAGGTCCTATGAACATCTGTGAACAGGTTTTTGGGTGGACCTAAATTTTCATTTCTCTGGGATAAATGTAATTGCCCAGGGGTAAAATTGCTGGGTCATATGGCAGTTTATTGTTCAGTTTTCTAAGAAACTGCCAAACTATTTTCTTAAATCTTTTTTTTTTTAAGATTTTATTTATTTATTTGACAAAGAGAGATCACAAGCAGGCAGAGAGACAGGCGCGGGGGGCACAGGGGTGGTGAAGCAAACTCCCCGCCGAGCAGGGATCCTGATGTGGGGCTCTATCCCAGGACCCTGGGATCATGACCTGAGCTGAAGGCAGAGGCTTAACCTACAAACTATCTTCTAGAGTAGTTATACCATTTTACATTCTCATACTCAACAATGTGTATTTCTCAGAATCCTTACCTGCATCCGGTATTGTCACAATTTTATATATTTTTTAAAAGATTTATTAATTTATCTGAGAAAGAGAGAGAGAGAGAGTGCAAAAGTGGGGGGGGAGGGGCAGAGGGAGAGGAAGAGAGAGAATCTTAAGATAAGCTCT